TGGAGATTAACACTGGCAAGTAAATGTGATGGAAGAATGAGTGGAAGGTCTTTGCTCTTCCATTTTTTTCAGTGGAACAGGAACAAGATCATTGAGAATGAGGATGCAAAAAGAAGCAGTATTAGTTTTGAAAAAAGAAATTAAGTAATAAAGTGGTTATCCAGAAATGGGAGAGTAAACAAAGATTGTGTAATATGCTTGCCTGGGGGCACCAGGAATCCCCTTTAGGCATGTGTGGTCATAAATTTAAGGTGAAGCCCAATCACCTATCATGTTTTATTCCTACTACCTTGAGCTGGCACAACACTGAAAAATGAGTCAGCCAAGGGTCTATGAAAGATAATGAATATAATGACTGATCTTGGAACTTAGGAAATAAAGTGAGGCCACTGTGATGAAAAGGAAGTAAAATTAATAAATTGAATGTCCAAGCAGGCTTGAGGACTAGTAGAATGGAGAGACGAAGGTATTGAGTACAAAGATGGAGGTAGTGGTCAGAGACTAGTTCACAGGAAAATATGAATATGGAACATCTGACAAACATAAAATAGAAGTCTGATGACTAGGAACACCACCACACCTGTCCTATATCTTCTTCCCCCATCAAGGCTTTTCCACAACTCAATCATCAAAGTCACTCAAAAGACTGTTCTTTCTCCAAGAGAGGTTAAGGAAACCTTATTAACATGAGGATTAAGAGTCTCATAGCCCCTCACCACTTACTACTAGGGTTAAGAGAGAGGCCCAAGCTCTACAATGCACAGTCTTCCCAAAGTTATATTTTGAGATCACCAAGTTGGATCTCACCATACTACTGGACCATCCCTACACACAGCCCAGCTCACGCCTCATCGTCTATCTTCTCATGACTCTGCATATCCCACCTTTGTCCTCAATGTTCCATTTACCTTACCCCTCTACACATTAGGAATGGCTCGCCCCTAAGGACAGATTCTTTTACAGCCCTCTCAAATGGTGCCTCATGTTTCTCCCATACCTCATGACTATTGGGCATGGATGTCAGATAGGTTTCTCTGCTTTTCTTTATGACTTCCAGATGGTTTCCCTTTCCTAATCTGTTTAAAACGCAGAAGAACAAATGAGTTTTGAACTCATCCCATCATATTATTTTTTAAAAAAATATTTATTTATGCATACAAGAACTGGGGTATCAGCCAGAGGGATGGGGGTGAGAGGATTCATCAGAGACAGAGTGGGGAGCAGAACAGGGAGATCTACTGGAATACACTGCTGAGGGGAGCAGTGGGTGAGACAGGAAAGGTCTGCTGCACCATGTGGGTAGCTCCCTGGTGGGCATGGGGTTCGAACTTGCCGCAGAGACTGGGGATAGCTTCACAGTACTGTGCTTAACCCCTTGCGCCACCAGGGAGGCCCTCCCATCATATTCTATCCTCGATGATACCATCAGAGACACCTGTGTCACTCTCTACATTCCCTAACCCTCTCTCTCTCTGGCCCGCTATCATATTTTTCCACTGCTATCCCTATCTTAGTTCTTACAATTTGAATATAAATATGAATGAATTATCCAGTATCTGCCTCCCTAGTTCCATGGTCCACTCTATCTTATTTCTTGTATTCATCCCCCTATTAGCTACTCACTGCCATGAGTATACCTAGATCTGGTCGTTGCCTCTGTTAGACAAGAAAAGTCTATGAAGCTCTTCATCTATATGCTAGGCTGCCTTCCCCTTGACATTCATAGGACCTAGGTAAATTTGACCCTAGTTCTAAGTTACACTTCACTGCTTTCTTGCTGTCTGACCACAAGTAAGACAGCAAGAACTTTGCTTTGATGTCTTCATTGGAAAAAGGAAGGTTGTGCCTTCTACTTCACAGTGGGGTTGAAAGATTACATGGAATTATGTATGGTCACGCATAGTTTCATACCTGATATGTAAAATGTAGACCCCTTATAAAACTATTTTTTTTGGCTAACTTCTTTACTAAAGCAACAATATGATGTACTGGTTAAGAATATGGGTTCTTTAAGTTGACTACCAGGTTTCAAATCCCAGGCCACGACTTTAGTCACATGACACTAAGCAAATTACTTAGCTGTTGTCTTCCCTAGTACTCACATTGGCAAAATGGGAATAAGAACTGTACCTGCCTTGTGGGGGGGTGGGGGGCGGGAAGGGAGGGATTGGGGTCAGAATGGGGGGTTGCAATTGTATGAGGAATATAAAAATAAAATTTATTATTTAAAAAAAATTAAAAAATAAAGGCAAAGTAATATTAATATATAATTTAAATGAAAAAAAGAACATGTAAATAAATAAATAAATAAATAAATAAATAAATAAAACATGCTTTTGGGAAAGGGCTACAAGCCAGAATCTGGTCAAAAAAAAAAAAAAAAAAAAAGAACTGTACCTGCCTTGTTCAGTTGTTGTGAAAGTAAAATAATAGTTGCCAGGGATTGGCAATCAACCCCCTACAGGCTAAATGGCCTCTTGCCTGCTTTTATAAATAAAGTTTTATTGAACTAGCAACAACAAATGTTGGCGAGGGTGTGGAGAAAAAGGAACTCTTCTGCACTGTTGGTGGGAGTGCAAACTGGTCCAACCACTATGGAGAGCTGTGTGGAGATTTCTGGACCTACTAAACATAGAGCTTCCATATGATCCAGCAATTCCACTCCTAGGTATTTACCCAAAGGACACAGAAACATCAATTCCAAAGAACACCTGCACCCCTATGTTTATAGAAGCACTATTTACAATAGCTAAGCTTTGGAAACAGCCCAAATGCCCAAAAATAGATGACTGGATCAAGAAGATGTGGTACATATATACCATGGAATATTACTCAGCATTCAAAAAAGATAAACACATGCAATTTGCAGCAACATGGATGGCGCCGGAAGGGATCATGCTCAGCGAAATAAGCCAAAAAGAAAAAGAAAAATACCGGATGGTCTCACTCATAGCAGGAATCTAGAAAACTTAAATAAGGGACCAGGAAAATGAATAACTATAAGAAAGTGAAAATCAAAATCAACAAAAAACTATGAACCAGAGACACTCTATAGGGGGTAGGGGGCGGGAGGGAAGGGATTGGGGTCAGAATGGGGGGGGTTTGCAATTGTATGGGGAATATAAAAATAAAATTTATTATTTAAAAAAAGTAAAAAAAAGATTGCAAATGAAAAAAAAAACAGCAGTTGAAAAAAAAAATAAAGTTTTATTGGAAAATAGTCACATCCATTTGTTTAACCATTGTCTATTACTTTCCTATTACAATTACAGATTTGAGTGCATGTGACACATATCACAAGGAATGCCAACCCTAAAATATTATCTGACCTTTCCAGTAAAATTTGTAGACCCCAAAGTATGTGTTTAAAACAGTCTATTACAGTGGAGTTCTCAATGAGAAATAATGTATACATTCTTTAAAAAAATCTACTTTGATTTGTATAACAAATTATACAAAAACCTGGTTGTAGGAGGGCAAATGGAGACAAGTCACTTGCACTGTGAAGTCCACTAGTAAAATTCTACAGCACAAAGCCTGACACAGGAGCTCAGGTTTCCCGGGGCCATAGCAGCCTTTTTACATGGCAAAGGACAGAGTTCTTATGGGGTGTTCATGTCATGGCTGATGCTGCCACCATTAGAATGCCTAATGCCAGCACAAAATGCACTCCCAGGACGATCGCCTGCAGAACACATGTAACAAAACTCAAGGGTCTCAGTGAGGCTGGGAGAACAAACCCAGGAGCAACACTAAAAGTTCTCACAGAATACAACATTCAAAACTAGAGTTTGATGTGGTTATTCATCCCTAGTGGCTTTAGAGACTTAAGTGCCATGGATTGGGAGAGTGACAAAGGATATCTGAAAGTCACGGATGCCTTATCCTTTGCAGGTGAGATGGGAACTAAAAGCCTTTGGTCACCAGATGAGGTAAATAGGAAGTAAAAGCACTTCATTACAATGTGCTTATGGAATTGAGGTAACCAGAGGAGAGTGGGGGAGCCACAGGTGGAGGACCCAAAGGACTCCAGTGGAGGTTTATTGGGCCTTTGGTGGTGGGTGTGGTGTGACAACATCCATCTGTGGAAATATGAATCTCTACCCCTAAGTCATATATGGTGTTATGATACACTGTAACCTCAGTAAGCATAATTTTTAAAAATAAAATGTGTTCATGTAGCACACATTGAAACACTACACACAAATACACACACACCTTAACAGTCCTCTATTTGTGTCAGTGCTTCTATGCCAGCATTGGACATAACATGTGGTAAAACTAGCACTGAAGCAACATGTTTGTCCTTATTCGATGTGCTAATGATGGCAAAGTTCTAAGAAGTTTGTAAGGACTAAAACTGGGAAATAGGAAGGCTGTGTTAGGTGCAGATATAAGGTGGAGGGGTCCCCAACGAGGCTCAGCAGAACAGCTCAGAACTGAGTGATGGGCCTGGTCACCTACTGCCCACAGAGGTATGAACATTATGTTGACATGTTCACCATCAATGAGGAGAATGCTTTAAAGCACTCAGTACAGTACCTGATACCTAGTGTGCTGTCAGATGTAGCTAGCAAGAGGAGTTGTCACTGCCATTAGTGTACAAATCACAAACTTCAGAATTATAGGATCAGTGGTGGATGACTTCATCTCTACTAGGTGAGCATTCTAAAATACAGAGCCAGCATTGTTTCATAAACTGGAAAATGAAGCAGTTGACACCTACTAGGTCTTGCCATTCCTGAAAAGTGGATTTACCTCCCAGTTTGGGTGTTTTGTGTTTATCTTACAAAAGTTTTCATTCTGTTTAAAAAGAAAAATACCACCCTTTCCAAAAACCTCCATAAAAATTTTAGTTATTGTTTCACTGGACTATTGTCTTTCTTTGGTGTTATCCATCAAAGGGCACTAGATGTTCTTCAAATGAACTTCATATAGAACACATCAGGGGTGCAACTTGCAAAACAATAACTGAAAGATCTCACTTAAAATACCTTAACTGGACGCTCAGCACCCAACTGCTGGACAGGAACTTCTGGGTGTCCCAACAGGCTCAGTGTCAGCCCCCACAGCTACAGCAGTAGGTGAGTCTGTGGCAGAGGCAGCAGCTCTGAGAGCAGGAGGATACCTGGAAAAGGCCCAGAGCAACATCTGACTAGACACGCAGTTTCAGATGCTCCTCGTGGCCATGCCCTATGATGGTGTTCGAAAAGAGCCTGAGAACCAGGTAAACCTGGCAGAGCTGCTAAAAGGCAGAAAGTGGGTGTTGTTTGAAATCATTTGTGCCTGAATCTCTGGCTGTTCCGACACCTACCTGCCAGATTTTTGGCACAGGCTGGGGCTCTGAAGTCTAAGGGGATGCAGGGGGCTGTGTGTCCGAGTGTTAGTGATGTCTCTGTGACTTAAGAACAGGTGTGAGTCCACAGCACAGACAACAAGGTGCGGCTCCCGTGATGATCCCACTGGAGGCTTTGGGAAGGAGAGAGACTTGTTACTAGATGATTCACTGGCACCTCTCACTGGGAATCAGCGGCACAGATGTTCTTATTGAGAATGACATAATAAAGTCCTCTAACATGGAGTTTGGTGGCACCAGCCTCACCTGCAGCCTGGCTACCAACATTACCTTCCAACTCTGAATCCCGGGGCCCTGACGTGCTCCTGCTACCTACTCCTATTTCGCCTACCCAGCCCTGGGCACAGGTCCCCAGTGCAACCTCGGCCTGGGCCACCCAGGCCTCTGAAAAAAAAAAAAAGAAATACTTTATCTGAGCTTAAGAATTTATTTTGGGTTTTTGGGCTATAATGCACAGAACACTTAGCCTCATTTCGTACAGTCCCATGGGTTTTGGTACATACCCCATCTGTGCAACCTTCCCCACTATGGAACTCCAGAATGTTTTTATTGCTTCATAAAGAAAGTCCATACCCATGAGCAATCAATCCCAGTGCCCCATTCCCCAGCCCCAGCCTCTGGTGTTCTGTTTTGAAGTTTGTAATACTATTGTGGCTATTTTCTAAGAGTCCTTACATTTTGTGATAGATCCTAAAATAGTTAAAGATGGCCCCATGAGGTATCTGGGAACTGGGAAAATATAGCCCATGGTGGGGTTACATTTAAAGCCAAACCAGTAATTCTAAATCAAGGCCATTATAATATTTCTATTTCTGAATTTGTTTGAAAATCTCCCTCATATAGAATCTGAAATAGGACATATGAAATTTCAGAGAAAATATTTGAATCAAGTCTAAGACAAACCTGTCTGATATAAACTTTTAACCCTAAAAACCAATCATTAAGGAAAAGTAGAACTGTTAATGACTACAAAAGATGGAACAGAAATTTTACATTTCTGCCTATCATACCAACATGGAACCTTGTATCTTTCTCCAAATTTTGCTCAATCTCTGGGATCCCTTAGGTTAAATGCATTTTATTTTTAAAGAAGCATATAATTACATTTTATTTCCTACCCAGAAAACTTTTGACTTAGAATAGTCTATCATTTGCAGTTACTTACTGGTAGTTGGGATTTAAAGAGTTTTCCCATTTGTTTTATGCTACAGTTTTCCCTTTAATGTCTTCTTTTGAATGAAATATATTTTTGTAATTCTATTTTCTTGTCTGCAAGTTTATTACTTTCATCATTCTTTACCTCTTTCTTACCCTAAAGATTATAGTGGGCGCCACTAAATTGGAGACACTAATATAAAGTCATTTTACTCTTCTCAGACAAGACAGAATCTGGAATGCTCTATCTCCATTCCCTCCCACATTTTGTGCTAATGGTGACATGTCCTTTATTTCACTTACTCTTCAAACCCTAGAAGACATTGTCATTGTTGTTTTGTATCACTCATATTTACCATTTCTGTGGCTTTTAATGTTTCCCTCTATTTCTATATTTCTGTCTAAAGATCATAGTCCAAGTTCCTGAAGTTTTTCTAATGTGTCTTTTATTCTGAGTTCCCTGGTGGTAAATTCTCTCATTTTCTTTTAATTTGAAATGACTTTACAGTTTGATCTCATATTTGAAGTGTATCACTAATAGCTCTTGTTAATTTTTAGCATGTTAAATATGTCATTTTATGGTCTTTTGGCTTCCATTGTGTCTTCTTTTAGTTTCTGGATGATTTTGTGACTTTTTCTGTGTCTTTGTCTTTTTGCAGTTTTAATATGTGTCTCAACTGGTTTTCTTTATATTTGTCCTGATTGTTCTTGAATCTGTAGCTTACTATCTTTCATCAGTTTGGGGAAATGTTCAGTCAACATTTCTTCAACTATTGCTTCTGTCCTTTTGTCGCTCTTTATGGGACCAAGATCACATACCTGTTAAACCTTTTCATAGTGTCCTGTATGTCGGACATTTTCTCTATTTTCTATCCCTTTTCCTCTCTATACCTGAATGTGGATATATTTTCCTGACCTGTCTTCCAAATTGCCTACGACTTATCTAGTATCTAACCTATCGGTTTTGTTCTTAATTTCAATTATAATAATTGTCAAACCTAGAATTTATAGGTAATATAAAAATAAACTTCTAGTCTCCTGGGAAATTTTCCATTATTTTGAAGTCTTTACTTAATAATGCCACTATCGGTATTACCAGTAAGTCTGTTTCTGTTGTATTTTCACTTAAACTTCAGATAATGTTTTAATTCTCCAACAGATTTTCTTCAGTTTCTAGAAGGCAGTTAAAGCAGAAGCTGCTCACCTTTTAAATTTTTTAATTGCAGTAACTTCACATTCTACCAGTATACAAGTTACTAGTGTGCATCATTGAGAATCAACATGTATATATAAGAACTAATAAAAACAGGGCTGATTTTTTTTTGCAAAGCCTGATATATGCCTGCCTTACCTTTATTCCTACAGGGTGTCCTTTAGGGTCTTGATTGAAGATCTCGAGTGTTTGACGAGGTGCCTCTACCTTGACAGGCCCTGAACTATATTTCTTTCTCTGCAAGATAAAGAGAACATGCTAACAATTGCTCTGTAGTTCCTTTGCAAGTGCATGTTGCAAACTACAAAATGCTTCAAGAAAAGTAATGCAAAAACTGTGATTTTCATGGTAAGTTTCCCATTTCCTAAGATCTTGACCTCTCTAGTCCTAGCTGACTTAATAGCCTCAAACTTCAATTTTGTCCCCCAGACTTATAAGATTACTAAAAGTTCCACTGAATTTTTCAGCCTCTGCAACCGTGCCAACTATGATCCTCAAATGCCTTGAGGAATAAAACAGCATATAAAGTCTAACCCCACTCCATCGATCATCCTTCTGTTTTGGATCTTGGTCCCTCAGTTTCTGGGTGACTTGTTAATTCTTTTACACATTCATGGAGGTGAATTTTCCTGCTACTTCTAGGCATTATAAATGGTCTGCTACAAGGCAGTACATGCAGTCTAGAGATAGGCTTATATGTCCAGATATAGTAATAGAGTGACTAACATTTTTACTTTCTTAATTGCTAAGGGTTTTTGTTGAGGTAAGTTAGATCTATTAACATATTAGAAATTAAAACTATAATTCTAAATATTTTATTTAAATATTTTAAATATTTGCTAATTTTAAATAGTAATAACAAACCTCCTACAGATTAACAAATATTTTTATGAATAAAACCTATTTTCCATAACAAAAAGTTGGTAGAAAAGTGACATTGATTTACATTTTTGCAAATCTCTTTGATGTATAGCTAAATAGAAAAGAAAAGGAGCCTGTTATCTGATTCTACATTCAAATTGTTGATAGTGCTTGGGTTAAAGTATACAAAGAAAACTAACCTCATGGAATTAGGTAGGTGAAAAATGAGAGAGTATTTTGCAGTCTTTTCAGCTAATTATAGATTTTCTTGTTTGATTCTAAACATACACTTGAGGAGTTTCTTAAAGGTTAGTTCCAATGTGAAATTGAATATCAATGAACTTCTATTTCTTTTACATTAATTCCAGTGGTCTACCTGGCACTCAGCAATCAAAAAAGATAAGACTAATACCAGTTTTAAATAAATGGATTATTTACCCAAGAGAGATTTAAAACATCGTGCACTGGTCAATTGGGAGACACCAGCAGGTTAAATTATCTAGATCCATTAAATGTTGAAATATTTAATTCTATAAAATCAAACACATTTGTTCATATCACCACTATTCTCATCCCAAATGTCTAAGTATTGAGAAGCTACCAACCTCAGAGGTAGAAATATTGGCAAAACTTGAATCTTACTAATGATAGCAAATACTGCCATTGTTTTTCTTGAGTAATAGTTCACCTTTTTTTTTTTTTAATTTTCAAGGCAATGTCTGTCAAATAATCCACACTAAAAACAATATCCATACGGTACTCTTTCAAGTAAGAATGGTGTCTCAATGGAATACTACTCAACAATCAAAAAGACAGAACCCATGCCATTTGCAGCAACATGGATGGAATTGGAAGGGGTAAAAAAGAAGGAAAAAGACAAATACTGGATGTTGTCACTTATAAGTGGAATGTAGGGAAACCAGACAAAGGGTCAGATAAAGTCAAACTTAAAAACTAGACCTTGAAATCAGGCTGCCAAACCGAGACATTCAGAGGGAGAGGAGGAGGGGCAAGCTTAAAGTGAGGAGGGAGCACAATGACCTGTGGTGGTAACTATGGGTATTTTCATGGTGGGAGAGCTATGGTGACAGCTATAGGAAAAGGGGGGATCCTATACTTCCAAAATACAATATGGGCCTTCCTGATGGCACATGGGAATAAGACACAACCTACGAAACTATCCGCAGCCACTGCAGCACGAGTTCATTTCCCGGCCATAGAGCTACCCACATGGTGCAGTAGACCTCTCCTGTCTTCCTGCTGCTCCCCTCAGCTGTATATTTCAGTTGATCCACCTGTTCTGTTTCCCGCTCTGTCTCTGGTGAATGCTCTCACGCCCCACACCCTGGACTGTACCCCAGTTCTTGCATGCATGAATTAATAAATCTTTAAAAAAATACAAACAATGTGAAACATATTACCTCAATTTAAAAAAATGGTGTGCCATGAAATCAGCAACCAGCTTGAGCCTATTCAAAAATGTGTTTTACCATCCAGAAGAACTGCTTGATCCATAGTTCCCACACGGTCCCAGATTATTATAGATAAAAATATTTAAAATCTTTTAAATATTATATATTTATGTTATATAAAATATTGTTATATTTTATACATAAAAAGATATGCCCAAAGATCAAAACTTAATTGCTTCATCAAAGACATTCTTTAGTAATATCATCATCCATGCATATATATGTAGACAACCATCCCTCACTATCCACAGATTCTTAGTTTTAATCTGCCTTGTTGAAACCTATTCCTAACTCCCAAACCAATACTCACGATGTGACGAGGTCATCCACTCACATGGTGAGGGAGCTCAAAAATCCGAGCCTCCCTAACGGCACACTCCCAGATGGGGTGGACTAGGTGGCTCTGGGCCCTTTGGTTTCAGCTGCCACAATGCAAGGAAGTGTCCTTGTCAGTCTACTCAGTGCCAGGTTTTTGCAGTTTTGTGCTTTTTGTTGATTTTATTGCTTAAAATGGCCCTAAGTCCAGGGTTGAAGTGCTGTCTAGTGTTTCTAAGCTCAAAGGGTATAATAGGCTTTCTGGAAAAAGTGTTTTAGACAAGCTCTTTTTGGCCATGAGTTATAACACAGTTGTCCCAGAGTTCTGTCAGTGAATCAACAATATGCATTAGAGCAGGTATCTTTAAACAGAAGGCCCAGAAAACAAAGTTACTTTTTGATGGATTGATGAAAAGATGGTCACCAGGACCTCACAGGAAGCTAACCCTGTATTTTCCCTGGGAGCCATGCTTCAGGATTTGCTAATTCTGTGTTTGTAGAGGTTTTATAGAACATAACTACAATAATGAGCATCAACTGTAAATACACATATATGTGTATATGCATACATATTTATACACATACAATATGTGACAAATAATAAACATAGATAATACCCTTTATATATACATAATGTTTACATGTTACATACACATGAACATATTTATGTGTATGCATATATATGTGTATAAATATGTGTGTACATGTGTAAAGAACTGGATGATTAGTAATAAAATGTGATCTGTTCTAATGCACTGGCGGTTTTACACCATTACTTTTGCACCATCAGTACAAATGTCAAACACTGTAGAAAATAGCATCTTAGCATTATTATGAAAAGACTAAGATATCCCTGGGGATTAAGATTTTTTTCACTATCAGATTTATTTACAGTATTAATTTCTGCCTCAAAATACATCTGCATTTCCCTAGAACTGTACATATAAATGCCACCTTTGTTACTTTTTATACATTCATCGAGATAGTGTTTCCAAATGTTTTCAAGATTGCAAGTTCCTCAGGACTGCAGTCATCCTGACAACAAATATTTTAACAGAAGGAAAACTGAAGATTTTTGTTTTCTTAATTTGCTTACTATAATTAACTCCTATGGTATGTCTAACTGGCACTACTGAGATAGGTATTAAATTGCTTGTAGATTACTCACTTACACATTTTAAGGCAGAAGATTATAGCCAGGGCATGATGTTAGGGAGTTATAAATGGAAAAGATAAGTTTGGTTTGAGGTGATGGCAAAATAAAATTGTTAAAGGGAGGAGAGACCTTTTTTTTTTTTATTTTTAAATTACAGGTATTATAGTCCAAAGAGAGAAATAGACAAATAGATCACTTCTACTGCCTTCAAGTAGAAAATGCAATTTAATAGGAGGAAAAGAGAAAGGAGCTTGATGTAAAATAAAAAGGCAGAATGGAAGGAAAATGGGTGGATAAAAGAGTCACTGGAAATAAGGACTCAAAGCAAACAGTAAGGAACTGTTCGTAACAGCATAGCTAAGAAGTCATTTCTATTGGCAACCAACTCTCAAAGACCCCCATTCTTCCAGCCTGATGGACCTTTTCTCTAAGCCCCTTTTTCGGGTACCAGCGATGTGACGGGTGATTAAAGGTGAGCTGTGAATCGTCCATGAGGTGAGGCGGCTGAGGCTGGGTAGCTCTGGCCCTCCTAGGGCCCATGGGGTACTCTCTAAGACTGAATAACCCAGAATCCTGGACAGGCACTTAACAATTTGGGAGGGGAGCATTGCTCGCTCTGCCAGTTATCCTGTAAAATGCTAATGATCAGGTAAGAAAGAAAGGGAATTCTTTTCTCTTCAGAGAAAAATGGGAGAAGAAAAGAAATGAACAGTGGGATATCATTTTAGTGCTGACTCAGAAGCACAATGTTACAGAGTTTTTAATCATGGGGAACCAGCTGGTTCTGGACTCTTGGAGCTGAGCCCAGAAAGAGGCAAACAAGCCATGCTGGTTGATGCTAAGTCCATGCTATTATTACTGCAATCTTTTCCAAGTCCCTTTAACTACTGCTGCACATTGAGTGAAAACTGGCCTCAGTGGTACTGGGGGAATCAGGAGGGTCTAAGCCAGAAAAGCCATCATCCATCAGGTGAACTGAGCAGTGACAGTGGCAGCCATCCTGGGGAGGTAAGTGGACCCTGTGGCAGAGTGATGGGCAAGGGTACCTGCAACAGGGCTAATAATGCAGGAGTTAGAAGAGGCCAGCAAGGCAGAACCCGAAGATGAGTTCCTGAGCAAATACAGAACAATCTAGAAGTCCCCCTGAGAGGGAATATACTCTCGACAGGGAGGCAAACAGGGGACCCTGTCACATTCAAGCTATTCACATGCTTATAAGAATGAGGGTCAGCATGTTAACAGACTAACTTGGGCTAAGTTTTAATGTTTGTATTTATTAAAATTATCCTTGAATTTGGGTTTCTGAGATTGTCCTCTGGAATCAGGAAATGATGCAAGAAAGTCAAGTCTTTCATTGGTTATGAAAATGTCTCCCTGGCTTGGCTCACTGGCCACCCTCAGCAGGGCTTGCCTCTGGTAGCCCCCCTTTCACC